ATCAAATTTATGCATTATGCCAACAGCTAGTTAGCCATTTATTTTTTCTTTTTTTGCTATAAAACCAATATTTTCAATAATTGGCCAAAATATCACTTTATTAAAATTTAAACCTATTACCAATTATTGCATTTAATTATCATCAGTAACATCAGTAATCAGTTATAGTGAACGCATATTATATATAATATGTGGCCCGTCCAAAAGAAAATATTTTAATGCTTTTAATTTCGAATTATTCCCTTGGAATTAATCCTATTTCTTTACGCTGTTTTCAAATTGTTTGTTACACGAAAAACAAACATCACGGGAATTTCATTTGCAGGCAAAATTATTTAGTACCGATTGAAATATGGAAGGGTCGCTTATAAAGGTTTACGATATTATGAAGTTTACTCTCATAATAACAAGTATCTGCTGTGATAAATTATCTGAAATTTTCACTTATTTAGGTGCATAGATCGCAAGGTTCAAAAAAAATTTGATTCATTAAATGCAGTTCCCCCAGCTTGTTTTAGATTAAAATTAGCTATGAGCCCAGTCCAAATGAAATCATATAAGAAAGAATCAGGTCAAATTTTAATAGATATAAATTATAAATTCGGTAAAAACCAATTTTTAGTCGCAAAATTATTAAGCCATTCAATGTCATTTGATTTTTACAGTTAAATTTTTAAGAAATTACAGTCAGCATCTTCATCAACACCCCACTAGAACAATAGGACCGAAAATCAGATACATGTAGTTGTATAACAATATATGCAATACAGTCGAACTCTTCCAAATGTATATTCAATAGTACATATACATGTATGTCACGTATGTAAAAAGTTTATTTGTATCCAGAGAGATCAATCAATGTAAAAAAATTATAAGATTAATGGTGATGATGATGATTAATGATGATGGTGGCGGTGGTGACGACAGCAGTGATAATAGTGATAATGATATAATAGTATGGTCCGGTGCAAAAAGATTTGTACCTCAATATAAAAATCAATAACTGCTTCTAATAAAAATCATTCAAATTTTTATAATTTTTTTATATTACTGTGAATAAAACTATTCTAGATTAAATTTTTATATTATTTTAACTATTCTATTATACTTTAATTCAATAATAAATGAAGTAATACTTTCTAAAAAAACTAAAATAAAATTATTTTTTAAAAAACCATTTTAAATATTATCACTATCAATTTGCAATATTAGAACTTTAATTTATGCAAGCAGGTTGCCTTAGATTTGATAAATATATATTCTAAATTTCATAAAAATTGAATTAATAGTTATAAAGAAATTAAGGTACAAAGTTTAGTAATTAAAATATATAAAATTCTGCAAAATGCTTATGTATATATATATAAATATTTTCTCTATTTTCATAAAAATAGAACGAAAGACTCTCGGATTTTAAATAGCAATTTGATATCGATACACCAATATATTACTTACGAACGTTATTTTACAGGAATGCATTATATTCTGAGTGATTATGAATTCATTGCGAAGTTTTTTAAATTCAATGATGATATTCAATTTAATCTTTCCTCGTCATGCAAATTACAAATAAAGTACATACTTTAAAATGAAAAATGAGATCAACTCTAAAAATATTCACCGAGTTCCGATCAATTCCCCATTATTTGCTAAATTATTAGGTTTTTCTTGTGGCGCATATGATATCTTATTCTCTTTATCTGGCATAGTCCATATAGTAAATGGACCGGCTACGCCCGATACAGTAAAAGAGCCTGAATTCAAAACAGCATGAGTTGATACTCTAATGTAAAATATTCTTTACAACGCCTTCTTCAATCAATGGCACTTTCCATTCATACTGATATTCTTTGACATTAAAAGTGATAGGATGTTCCCATTCCGATTTAATTTTCGGACTGTCGGCGTATTCTCATTTTCGGATTATTGTGTAAAGTGAGAATGAAGTTTGTCAGTGGAGTCACGGGATCTCCACATTCATTTGTTTGTTCCATCGTCGTAGAATGGTACGACTACGGAATTCGGCGGCGAAGTATAGACGTTAAGACAATGACGATCGTTCGTCCCGCTTGGATTGAATAGAGGATTATAATTGATAGGTTTTATGCTGCCTATTTTTTTAGATATATTCAAATTGGGGGAAAATTGCTGTTTACGAGTAAACATCGGAACCGGTTACATGTAATATTGCTATAGCAACAATTGGATTTTTCATTATCGAATTTATTAAAATTGAATTTTCACGTCAATGCGTTAAAGGTTATCGTATTATGATTGATGATTCGCTGTAAATTTTGTATACAACTTTGTATGTAGATTGTTAAATAAAACGAAATTTATTAGAAAGTTATACCAAATTTAATAAATTTACAATTATACACAGTTAATTCAAAGAAATTGATAAAAATAAATGTTCCTTAATAAAATTAGAAGGATATTAGGTAAGCTTATCTACAGTATAGTCATAGTGTTGGGAACAGTTATGTGTATTTATGGCGTGTTTATGGAACAAAATGCGAAAATCAATAAACTATATCGTTATAATTTATGTTTGTGAGACATAACGAAGCATTATTTCATCAATTCGAGCATTCACGACTTGGTCAATTCGATTAAGTATGATTTGATCCGCTTGATTAAGCTGATTGTCATTATTAATGTTTAAATTTCGGCTCAAACTACGTGTATTTTGAATTGGATTAAATCCTGGCTTTTGATGATGATACGGGCCCGTATCTACCGGTGTTCTTTTATTATTGTTTGCATTGATCATTGAGATAGAATGCAATCTGGTTGGATGGATTGAATCTGTTTGTGGTTGTGGTTGTGGTTGTGGTAGAGGAAATCCTAAACTTTTTCCAGCTTTAATGGATCGTAGTAAGCCGAATTGCTTAGAGAAAAGTTCTTGCGCGTCTTCAGCTAGTTTTTTATAAGCATTTTTAATATGCGGTGGTTCTTGTTTCCAAAATTTAGAAGCAATCCTGGATAGTTTCGGCATATCACATTTCTTTCCCTTTTCATTTTGCATCACCATAGCCTTCCGATAAATGAAAAATGAATTTACGGTTTTTAAAGTTTGACGATTTTTATGATCATTCTTTTTAAGTAAGTCCTCTACAGTGATTCGAAGGGGAAAGGGCGGCCTTAGTATTTCATACTGAGAGTAATCCTCATCTGAGATACTATCAACAGTAGATTTATCAAAATTATTTTTAATGTTACTTGCAACTTGATTCATTGTGTTATTAATTTTGTTTTTTGCTTGTGAATTGAAAAAATCGCAAAGGTAAAAAGATAGCTTATTTATATAATCCAATCAGAAAAAAGAACAAAGAAGAAATGCTCTGAATTCATTTGTTTATGTAATAGGAAGAAATTTCCGTTCCTATAAATTTTGAACAATGCAAATAAGTAACGGTTGAACGAAATGACATAGTTGTAAAAAATATATGCAATGTAGCCACACTCTTCTAAAGATATAGTCGGGAACATAGTACATGAATGTCCCATATAAAAAAGTTAAATATGCATCCAGAGAGCTATTCATTTAAAGATATAAATTTGTACATTGTACATGTAGTAAATCATTGAGTACATGTACATTTCTAATGCATTTACCTATTATGAGACAATGCATTCATAATGGCCATTATTTTTAGTGGAAAGATAATCATTGACATTTTGCTATTGATCGTAAATGGTAATAGAGTAACATAAAAAATTATGCAATATGAAAAATTTGATACATGCGATGGAACAGTATAATATTTTTCTTTAGAGAATAACCAATTTTCTTTTTTGTGAAAAAGAAACTTTTCTTTTTCATTGATTATGAGTACCAAAATGACACGATATGATTTATCATTTTCTTTGTTAAATTACGCGAGTTGTGTGAGATACTCTTTTTCATTATTTTAACCATTTGTGCTAACCATTTGTAAGTACTTTCAAAAAGCTTAATTTAAAATTTGTAACATTTAATTTCCTCAAATCTTTGTCAAAAAAATGTACACACATGTTGAAAAAAAATGGCTTGTGATTCTAGACTTTGTTCTCGTTCAAATAGTTCATTTAGCTATTTTCGGAGTTTGGTTAACGATCATATGTTAATAGGTAAAACAGGTTGAATGAAAAGACTATGTCTATTGAAACGGAGTTTTGAAACATTACGAAAACATGAATGCTTATTTTGCTTGAAATAAAGCTTTAAGGAAAGTGCTCTGATAATCCTCTACTTCGTTATCTAATAATCTTTATAGATCTTTATCAACATGAAAGAATATTTAAATAACTACACTCCTTCTTTATTTGAGAAGCCTATACTTATAAATCTATTAAGTTGCTGAGCCAATCTGCGAATAATCTTCAAAATTTTCAACAATTTAACAATTTTCTCCTTTGCTCAATTCTCTTGTTATTATTCCGTTCTTTTATATTTTACTTACTTTTTGAAGTTTTAAAGGCAAAGTATATATATATATATATATATATATGTGAAGCAAAATTATCTTTTTAAAACATTTTGCAATCGATACTTGATATAAATTTTAGTTCTATTCCCACTTAACCCTTTCATCATCAGCATAGCTTAATAAAAATTAATATATCTCTTCAGAGACAATTATCACTTATATGTTACTTAAAAATTTTCAATACCCGTTTACCGCGCGTAACATAATATGATTGAAACCGTTTAATCACGTTTTTAAATGATGCAAATGATAACGGATGTCATAACGGATGGATCTGCAAAATTTTTACCAGTATTATCAGTATTGTAGCCAAGCGATACTTTTACATGTACTTAGTACAGGTACATAATACATGTATTTACTGTGCCTAACATTGCGCATCAAATTTATGCATCGGCTGATTAAAAATTTTCACTTTCCTGTTGTCTTGCATTACATGGCATGATGCAATAGCTAGTTACCATTTGTTTTTCCTTTTTTGCTATATTTTCAATAATTGGCCACAATATCTCATTCATGTATACCCATTTATATTATATGATATGATACAGTATGATCAATTTCATCAGCGAGCAGTTATAATGAAAGAATATTACATACATACTGTATATTGTGTTACTTCCAAAAGAAAGATGACGAAAAATATTTTAATGCTTTTAATTTCGAATTATTTATTATCCACGCTTTGGGATTAACCTTATTTCTTTATGCTGGCTAAAAGATTACGCGTAGTTTTCAAATTATTTTTAAATATTTGTTTCACGAAAAAAAGAACCGTAACGGAAATTTTATTAGTAGCCAAAATTTTATAGTTATAATTTAACCCCGATTGATACAATTAACATAATAGAAATATTGATATGAAAGCATTTTTTATCATCTGATTTTTAAAGAATGTAAATATTATGAAATTATTCTTATAATATTGGGTATGTAGATTGCAATATGTCGAAAAACAAAAATTTTGGTTCATTAATCAAATAAATTACAGTTCTCTCCAGCTTGTTTTAAATCAAAGTTAGAATTTTTTACATAATTTTGAAGTAACATACGATTAAAATTGACTCGTTCAGTATGACTCTTAACTTTATTTCAGCTAATTGAGCAAAAACGAAAATATAGTATCTAACTCATTATCGAAGGTGAATCTATTAATGCGTAGTTGTAGCCTTAGAGTCTGCAGTTATGCAAAATATTATACTTTGTATATATAGAAAACTCTAAATAAAAGAGTTAAAATACATGAATATATTATTTTTAGACTTATGAAGCAATGGAAATTAACAATATAACTCTTGCCAAAGCGTTACTGTCTCTAAAAATAGAATAAGATATTCAGATCGCACAATATATTGGACAGACACTAAGTTAAAATTTCCAGAATTATAGTTTTCTCTAAAAAGCTTTTAAAACTATATTGTTATTTGATATTAATATAATGAGCTCTGAAGAATTTTCAACTTGATTTAGTGAAGTTAAATAGCATTCTCTGTTTATAAGCTGTAGTGAAGATATTTTTGCCTATCTCGATATCTTCATTAGAGCAGGGGAGATTTGAATGTAATCTAAATTAGCTATTAGTCCAAATTAAGTGTATCAACTTTAATAAATGTAAAGTATAAATTTAGTAAAATCAATTTTAGTCGCAAAATTATTAAAAAGTTCTAAAGCCATTCAATGTCATTTACTTTTAAATTTAAAACTTAAAGAAATTACAATTAGCCTTGTTAACATCAACTTTGTTTATAGCTTACAGCCCGTCATTAGCAACATAAACCATGAGGCTGATATTAATGAGTCGGACTGTAATAGACCGAAAATATTCGTATTAATTTTTATTTTTGAAAATAATAATAAGTTTTGGTTACTGTAATTTTTAAATAACAAAATTGATTAAATTATTTTCATTGTTTTTAGAAATCTATACTCAAATGTTCAAAATAAATTGACTATTTTACTATAACGAAGGATTAGAAATTTCACATGATAACTTAGCTAGTTAATCAATTTAACTTTTTTATAATTGACCAAAGTAAGTTCTGATGTCAGATTTTCTTAAAATTAAATCATTTTCATTTAATTATTAGATGTCGCTTGATTTTTGAAAGTTTTATTTTACGATTTATATGATGTGCTTTTAATCCAATTGGTCGAAATTTCACGTGATTCAAGTCTTTATCAAGAGAAATTTATTATACATTTTCGTTAATAATTATATATATCAAGAATGCACATCAAAGGAAATTTATTAAGCTCGGTTTTGTATGTCCTTACTATCAAGAGTTTATTATAATGTGACTGACTTGTATTTTTTATCTTCTAGTTGTTTCTATTGTGCTTCTTTCAACGATGCAATCCATTAATATCACATTTCAATAATGAATATCTCTTTACTAGTAATAATTGCATATTATTTTGAGATTTCTGATGTTGACGCACTATCTTCAGCCCTAAAAACTAGCCACTTAGAAATGTATAAGAAAAGCGCGCGAAAAAAAATAAGCGCTTAATTTGTTAAAAAATTAGCCAATGAATGCATTCAAACATAGGCGCTCGAGAGATATTCGCCTAAAATTTTTGTAGGAAATCAGCTTTTTAGTTTTAGAGTTTGCATTAATGAAGTTTTTTCCACCAGAACTTGCATCAATTATCATAAACCCCATTTCTCAATAAATATTTATAACATGAAATGATTGTTGAAACTCTAACAACAAATGAAAAGTAGGACACGCAACGCAGTATCATTTTTTTTAAGCGTGGTATTAATATAGAGTTTCTTAAAAAACGAAAATTAAATTTAGCCAAGATTTGTATAACAAACAACAGATAGCGATAGTTCTAACCATATAAGGTTATACATCAACGAAACAGCATTTCTTGAATGCACATTTTAGGATTTTTGGGTCGGACAAATCCCGTACATTGATGTCGCTGTACATGTATAACGATAATGAAATGTAAAATGAATATGTAAATGTAAATGCAAATGTATCCCTGTTCTATCCATCTTCATGAGTAATTGGTTAGGAGTTTTCTAAATGTATATATCAGCGAAATTATAAATCTTTTTTATTGGTTAAATTTTATAATGCGACCTGTACAATGCATTAAGTATTCTACTTGTGTTAAAAATAATTATCGTAATGAAAATTATAAAAGAATGAATAAAATGAAAAAATGACACACATTTCATTCGCATTCCTTAGAATATTCAATTTCGTTATGCCACGATACAATAAAAAAAATGATGATAAAAGTGCTATCAAAAATTTCATACGAGACAATCTTTTTCTGCATCTCACGCATAATGTATCACTTGAGAGTAGTTCACACTCATTAAAGTTAATAACGAGTTATCAAGGAAGAATAATTTTTAATGAAAATGTCAAAATTCCGGAAGCGAAGGATATATTTAGAAATATCTTAAACAAAAAAAAAGACATGGGCAAAAGTCCCAATTCGTTTTTAATATTTCGTAACTTGATTCAAGCAATACTTAAAAACTGTAGATTGGAAAGAAGTTATGTCTCTAGCATTGCCAGTGCAGTGTGGAAAAATGCATCCGAAGAAATAAAGGATTGCTTTAAAAATTTATTTAATGAAGTCAAACCTTTAATTGCGACTGTTAAAAAATTTGAGGGGCCTGTGCAAGGTTTGTCTTTTTCTAAAATGCATCTTTGTTATTTTAAGCTTTATTATGCTAATCTATTAATTTAATATAATTTTTATTAAAAGAGGTTGATCCCTCAACTTTTATCAATCGTCATAATCCTATCTTAAACACAAATTTCGCAACTTTCGACACAAATATTCCTTACTCGTATAATCTTTTTTGTGATATACCTCCACAATATCCACATTCCCAACTAAATATGCAAACACCTCAAAAGTATCAAGAAACATATCCTCAGTCTCAACAAATATGTATGCAAATGAATCAAGAAATTACTTCTGGAATATCTCCACAGTTATTGTCTGTTATGCTATATTCAGCAGACTATCTCCACGACGGCGTGAACAATTTGAGTTGTGATAATTTCCATTTGTAAATATTCTCTCCTATCTTATTCTCAAAAATAACAAATGTCAACACTGTATTAATCAAGAAAATTTGGATATATATAAATTAATTGTATTCATTTAAATCAAATGTTTTATTCAGCATAGTATAGAATTATTTATCCTTTAATTTCTATTTGTATTGTTATTTATGGATTAAGTAACAATATAAAATACAGATAAAAAAATTATATTTAATACATATATTAACTATAAGAATATATATGGTTATAATCATCTATTAAGATCAAAAAGATGCATTGACGACAATTTTCTTATGTTTCATAATAACTGAAATTAGAAAAAATGTGATTGTAGAGAGGTGTGACTAGCTTTACAGTTCCATAATCCAGACCAACCATAAGCCCAAATATTTTTGCATCGATTTCACTTCAGCCTGTACTAATCTCATAGCACTAACACCAATTCGGATTTTTGTTGTATGAACGTAACAGTATTTCTGTATGTCGAGTTTTTGAAACGCTGGGATTTCGTTTATGGGTTGTCGGATGTCGAACCGTCTAGACAAGGTATGACTGTCTTTACATTGTTTTTTGAAATTTCTTTAAGAAATATTTTCTGTTTCTTATCTGTGTACAGCAAAAGTTGTGTTTTTGATACGTTGTTATCTCATTGATTCATTGATGCAGTTGTATATATCCTAAATTTAGTGCTTGTTTTGATTCGTTTGAAAGTTATCTTATGAATCCTAAATTTAGTGCCGCGTCGCGCCGTCATAATGTAAAATCACATTATATTATACCCAGAACCTTCCACATGATTCTATGATAATCATATTTTTATCATATATATGTTTCTTTATAACAATGATATAAATAATTTTGGTATATATTCAGTTTTGTGTATAAGGTAATTATGTACATTATGGCAGGTATGGATATTGTGGCGGATTAAGCAATTGCAGGCCTCGGGTTAATTAACTAATTTATCGAACAATCTCGTAACAATAATGATATGATTAGCTGTTTTTTGATGAAATGTCCGCCATACTGCCAATAATCGTTGGAAATCGTAATTTTTAAGTGACCGCCCCGCACAAATAATAAAATAACGAAAAACTTTAAAGTACATGTATATGTATACCAAAATTATCGTCGGGATGACGATCATACGGAATTTTGAACGTCACTGATTCTTTATATTTGACATATAGATAAGTTTTTCTTGCTAGCTATTTTTAACCCCACCATAGCTACCTTACGTTTTATTAAAATGTCCATACTGACGGAAATATTGCGTAGTAGGACTAGTGATTGGCTCGAAACAGCTTATTCCGAGTCAAATTAGGATATTTAACTCAAATATTTAGTGTGCTATAGATAATCTTGAATACTCTTTTAATTAAAGAAACTTGACTTTCTCGAACGGTGTACTTCGTCGATTTCATTCTCTTAGATCATCAATTAATTTGTATAGTAAGCCGGTTTTGTATAATACATGCATTACGTTTTAATTCGTCGTTACAAACTCCCATTATCACTAATTTAGGTGAGTAGTGCATTATACATATATTTTTATACATGACGTATTATCGGTTTACTTGTACATGGACACAAGTTTTGCATGAATTCATAATCGGCCTAAATTAATATAAAATATGACTAGAGTTAGAGTATTTTATTTGCTGAGGAGATAAGATTTGAGTCATACGTTAACGCGCGTAATTAGTATGGTATAGTCAGAAAATCACACATATAATACAGGTTTTATACTAAATGTATACCGCGACCTTTTACCCCGAAATTAGACGATCATTTCACTAATTTGCTTGATTATGCATACCGATACGCATTAGGATAAGATACATATCGATATCGATATAGAGTTAAATCTTTGATACATGTATAAAGAAAAAGGTTTAGTTTTTGATAAAAAATTCATGTTTGTTGAGGTTTGTTTAGTAGTTCGCACAAGATTGTTTACTATAATTATTTATGAGATCAACTTTGATTTACCGAGAATTAACTGTTCAAGTTTGACTGAACTTAATTTTGTAACGAATTTACACATTTTCACTGCTGCGAACCGTATTTCTAGACCTTTATCGATAAATTTGCTATAAAAAAGTTCTTTGTGCATGTATAATGAATCCTACGATATACAAAAATTAATTCGACACCCCGCATTTGTTACATCGAATGATTTGTGCTATATACTTGTATTCTGAATATCAAGTTCCGTTTCCATACACAACATATACATGTTGTGCTCCAGGTCAGCTGTCTTCTCAATGTTCCATTAACTTTAAAATCAATAACAATGATAACATACGTGTTTGTTTGTGACTCAAATACATGGTTTTTCTTTCGATTTTTCTATTAATTTTGAACTTAACGGAAAATTTTCGTTGTATCAATACGTAATTCGTTATTTACTGCAGCATATAAAAATACATTTCATCCTTCCATCAAATATTTACTACTCAATAATCTTCAAATAATTTCATTATGCCACGACACAATACGAAAAATAATAATAATGGTATCAAAAACTATATGCGAAACGATCTTATTACACAGCTCACGCATGATGTATCACTTGAGAGTAGTTCACACTCATTAAAGTTAATAATAACGGATTGCCAAGGAATAATAATTTTTAATGAAAATGTCAAAATTCCGGAAGCGGAGGATATAGTTATAAATATCCTAAACAAAAAAAAAGACATAGGCAAAAGTCCCAATTCGTTTTTAATATTTCGTAACTTGATTCAAGCAATACTTAAAAACTGTAGATTGGAAAGAAGTTATGTCTCTAGCATCGCCAGTGCAGTATGGAAAAATGCATCCGAAGAAATAAAGGATTGCTTTAAAAATTTATTTAACGATGTCAAAACTTTAATTATGATTGCTAAAAAATCAGAGGGGCCTGTGCAAGGTTTGTCTTTTTCTAAAATGCATCTTTGTTATTTGGTTTTTTAAAAAAAATTTAATACGTTTACTTATTATAATTTTTATGGCAAAAAAGCTGTAGAATTCTCAACTTCTACCAATTTTTATAGTGATTTTTCTCCCTTCCACAAAATTAACACATTTTCCGACATAAGCTATTCCTATCCGTACAATGTTTATCCCGATATTCATGAGCAAGTGTCTTCTCTGTCTCAGCTGACTTATTCAACTTTATCCGACGATTACAGGAAAACTTTTCTACCATTTAACCAACATTTCTTCGAAGAAGTCTATAATATACGGTGCACATCTTCTCCATTATAAAATTCAATATTATTATTATTATCGTTGTTATTATTATATAAGACAAATAGTTTATATGATATCGAAATTTCTACTTTATAAATATATGTATCTTGTTTACAGAAAGTTATAGTTTAAATCGAGATACGCGTCAAATAACATAATTCAAACTAATTAAATAACATGTACATAAATATTAGTATTCGTTTTTGTAGGATATATTATGACAAAACGTTATTTTTCGGCATAAAATATCAAAATTTCCGAGACTTTCGTGCAACAATAAAATAGTCGCACTTTTAAAGTAATATGTATCTTTTTCTTTCGGAGTTGAAAGTTCTTGAATGATATCTTCATTTTTTTAGTACATATATGTGTCTATAATACGGCTTACTTTCTTAGTGATTATCATTTTCTACTGTCCTGCAAAAACTTTTTCCTTAAAGATAATGAGACGTTATCGTTATTGAAAACTAAAGAGGAATTTTTCATTAACCTCAAAAGGAAATAAAATAATGAATCGATTTTCAAGATTCCCTCCAAGCATGCATTTACCGAAGAGAAAGAGATCATTTACACAATATGCATTTAGTAATATTAACGTTAAAGAAAGCAGTAGCTTTGTAAGCTTGACTCATAACGATATTACATGTAAATCACAAAATAAAAACAAAAACGGCAATAAAGTGAAGAACGCCATGTCAATCAATCACGTCGATGCACACTCCCATTGTTTCAGATTTACGAAAACAAACCGAATTTGTAAACATTCATACTTACGAAATTGTTGATTTTTTCTATAACGATAACGATAAGCAATTTATGTTAACTTGTAAATCAGAAAACAACATAAGTTGGAGAAAAATTATGTATTTAGAAATAATTCAATAAAAATTATATTTAGAACTACAATGAATGTTTCTAGTAATATGTATAGTGACTGATTTATAGAAAAATGAATGTGTGTACTTTAGTATAATTTACTCCCGTTAATTGCTATGTCGAATCACTTATAAATGTAGGTGCAATATTCTCGAGTACCTCCAGCTCATCGAATGACAAGTCTTCGATGTTAATATCAAACACCCTCTTTTCTTGAACATTCACCTTCATTTACGATATTTTATAATGAATTCCTTAAATATTGCTGTGTTAGACCTAAACCATCGTATCGCACAATGTTTATATACTTCCGCAAACGCACAGCTTATTTATGACAGCTCAAATGAACCCACCGATTTTCAAATTACGATAACGTGGTCATCTAATTTAGGCCCATTTCCCTATTCCGTGCCTTTACAATCTACTAATGACTTTCTTCAACGGCATAAGCGTAAACACAAGAGTTTCCAAAATAAAAAACAGACAAATTGTTACTTAATTTTTAGATTTTATCTATATGAGATTCAGCGAACGCATCCTGAATTTAAAAATTTTAAACAAACAGATATTTCGAAGCTTTCAAAAATTATTTGGAACGACTCAAAACCTATACTTCGACCATACTTTAAGTCATTTTGCGAAAATCTCAAGATTGTTATATCGTCTGCTAAAATTGAATACGAAAATCGGAATGCTAACTATGAGCGTAATGGTAAAAACATCAAGTTTTTTATCTATATGATTTTAACATTTTATTAACATTTAATACTGACTTCACAGATATCCCTTTACAAAGAAATAACATGAACTTTGTTCTCGGTAATGTGAATCATTCTCCTTTTCTCCATCAACTTCGTTACCAACCCCCCGTTCAAGTGGATAATATACCGTATTTCTATCCAATCAACCTTTAGAATATTTTACGTTAACTACATTTCTTAATGATTATCATTTTACCTATTTCTTATCGCTATTCATTCTCAATCATTCGTTTATTAATTGATCACCTGAGTAGGTCCCAGTTTCAAAGAATATGGCATTTAAGTATACATGTAGTGATTCCTTATTATATCGGCTCTTAGATTTATTTGATATCCGTAGTGCATTTATAATCTCACACACATTGTTCACATGTACATGTGTTCTCTTGTTTTGGTGCTTTAAAAACAATGACGACGAATAATTTAATGCTCGTTAACGAAATAACAAATCTGCAAAACTGTTGCGTACACATTTATTTGTTAATTTAAACAATCGCTTTTAAAAGAATAGGTTCAAATATTGGAACCTGTAGCTTTGGATCAGCCAGAGCGTGCATTTAGGGAGTGTATGCATATCTATTTTACAGCAAATGAATTTAGGGAGGTCAATTACATTTTTATGTCATTAATTTTGTGACTTTATATTCTGGATTTTATTCTAATAAAATTAATAATTTGTGATGAAGGTTATTTATTATGATAAACCATGTTAATTTTCAATAGATAAATGTATTCAGAAAAATTGTGTGTTTCACTCTATTAAAATGTATAATTAAATGATAAATGATGTAAAATATTAAGTCTATAAAAAATATCATGAGAGTAATACCGCAGTTACATCTATTGTAAATGTACCTTAGACATAGAGCTGTTTTTGGAAAGTGTGATTTTTTCTACAATGTTTGGTTTTGAAAAGGATAATTTTCTACAATATTTTGGGTTTGAAAAGAATAATTTCCTAAAAAATTTGGGTTTTGGAAAGCTTGGAAAATAAGAGCAGATACATAATTTTTTTCCTGGTCGAATTCATCAACGCAAATATTTTCATTATAGATGTTTGTTTCGAGAGAAACTGGATATGCAACCATTGAATCAAATATATAATCGGTTTGACGTGATTGTTCTTGCTTGATTTGCTCATAAATACTTTTAAAAAAGTCTTTGATTTGCTTTGAAGGTCTCCAAAAATTGGCGGCTATTTTAGACATATATTTTCTCTCTAATTTAATCCCCGCTTCTTTGATGGCCTTCGAGAAGATAATTCGAAAAAGTAGGAAACAATTAGGGGTTTTGTTTTCATGAAGATGTTCGGTGATGAATTCGCTTGTTGACAAAATTTTTGTGCTTATTAATCGCCCGAAAAAATTGATTGAAAGTACTGAGTAGTCCTCACAGTAGAGAACTAGCACATCATTTTCTAATATTTGTTGATTTTGCATTTTCAATTTTCTTTAATGAATGAATGAGTGATTTGATTTATTGATTGAACTAAAGATGTATTTCTTTGATAAAAAATGGTAAGCTTTATTTATATAAATTTGTCCGAATTACATGTATTTAACCATTCAACTATTAAAGTATTTCACACCGCTATTTAAAAATAGAAAATGCTATTTTTTTATCATTAAAAAATAGCGTCTATTATTGATTTGTGTTAAATTAAAACCCTGCACATATTATTTAAAGTTAAGGATACTAATGAAAACTTATAATTTCCATTGTTAAATTTCTATCTTGGTGGATCACATAACGTGTGTATTTGTATACAATATTGACATAGGTGTACATGTATACAGATAGAAATAGCGTACGTGTAAATGAAATCTCGCATTCTCCGCGCACAGAAAATGATATAAATCATTACAAAAATTTTATACCAGGTCAGGCCAAGAAATTATTGGTTTAATAAATCCCGTGCGTGGATCATTTTGATAGTGCTATTTACATGACATGACATGTACACGTACATAAGCTAATTAGAATAGAATGATACATTTTTCGGCATTAGCACCAATCGGCTTAATAGTTACCGTCAATACGTCATAAAATACCCCTAATAGTACTCTTCATGTTTTTACCGTGCCATTTATAGGTCGGATTTTTGGTGGAATGTCACCATACCCCTTTTAATTCTTCTTAAATGCTTTAATTCTAGCATATAATAGTCTGCTTTCCGCACAATGTATCACAACAGGTTTCATGAATATGTGTATCATGTGTGTTCAATTCTATCAAATCATCATGATGATTTGATCTTGATAGTAAAGATATCAACTCTGCACATTATAATATTATAAATTATAAAGAAATGCATGAAAATTCATTTAAACAAATACAAGGCTACTTGAGATGAATTTTCATAAGATACTAAACTTTCTTCACTATATTTCTATAGTTATCGCTTCAATCTCGATATTGACGTTCGGTCAAATCCAAGATCCACGAGAGGAGGTAATTCCAAAAAATGGACAAATCGGACAGGCAAAACTCAAAGATAAAAATGCACTCTTCAACACCAACTCTCCATGGGAAGGTAACGATCGTCATTGCATGGACATAATAACGCCGCCTCCGTTTTCGGTACTCGTACCATATTATCACGCATGGATTCGGTGGAACAAGAGTGAGGAATGTAACCCAACTACTCCATTAACGAACTTTGCTATAAAACTCTACAATAATCCCAAATCTTCCGGAAACGTGAACAATCCTAAAGTTAAGACCGAATGGGATTTTGAAATTGCCGATGGTGTTCAAGAATCTCAATTTGAATGGGATGTACCACTTTTTCCCGAAGATGAAGTGAAGAATATCAGTTTGTTTTATATAAGAGTGCAAACAGAGGCAAATATAAATGGAGGGATGTATACAGTGTTTGGAGTCACGGGACCTTTGACCATTTGGACGAAACCTGATATTGTTAATAAAACTCTTTTTGCACCCGAGGAAAACAATCATACAACTTTGTCAAACACAACTACCAGGAAGTTAGTGAAATCGACGAGTGATTCCCTGGTGTTTGCGAAACCAAATTATTATGAAATTATGTTAAACATTGTTGTATTTTGTTGCTTGATTGCATCTGGCGTAGCACTATATTTGTAATTAGTTTTTAATTATTCATTTATATTTGATATTGGATTTTCTTACAGCGTCTAAAAGATTTAGCCTCAGTTTCTCAGCTTTATATAAAATTGACAATGAGCTTTAGAACGCTTTGTTCGATTAAAAATCATTTTTGTATTATTATGCAGAATAACCATTAAAAATCAGTAATGTACACGGAACAATGTCCGCCCTATATAAGGCGGCGGACGCGGGACATTATCCCATTGTTCAGATATGTCCCAACCAATAGTCATGCATGCCCATGTGTCTTACCAATCGGTTGTTAACATTTTCCATGTCCGTAGTATTGGTTTTCACATTCTAAACATGGGAATCAAATTACTTGTGCATAACAATACTGGCCATTCAGTTTCTAAAAATGGTGGTGTGTCCAAGCAATAATAGAACATGACACTTTGTTTAGCATTAGCGTTAGGCATTTTAGCCATCGATTTCAAATATAATAACAACAAATTCATATTTATTATTTTTATACCTAAGAAATCGATTTTAAAACAAATACTTTAATCTTAAAATCCATTTCAGAATCACTAGTTTATGTACAATACCCACAGAAATTATTACCCGATTCAAAATTATATAGTAAAACATATAAAAATGGAAAATTTCAGGCTATATACATATTCATTTTTTTTCTACTAATTATTTCTAAATTTTATATCATTTTAAAGCTCATGTCATATTTTTAGACAAATGATCCAGTTGTGAGAGACTTAAAGTGAAAGACCATTTCGATTTTAAGGAAAAAATTTTTTGCCCACGCTTTACATATAAAAAATTGAAATTTTCAAGCTATATACACATTCATATTTCTTTTAGTAATTATTTCCAACTATTATACCATTGTAAAGTTAATCAATTAAAGTTTTCAAAAATTAATTCCTAGACGTGGGAGACTTAAGATGCAAGAACTGTTTTAATTATAAAAGCATGAATAAAATTTTATATATATTTTACTATATAATTTCAAATCGGGCGATACTTTCTGTGGTATTGTACATGACCGAAATCTATATCTACCGCTGCTGTTACTGAAAAAAAAAAACATAAATAAACCACCCCGCGATCTGATTAAAGGGTGGTTTATGCGGTGACGTTTTATTCATAATGGGAATCATATGCACATAAGACCATTGTGACCGAAATTTTAGCCGTCATTAAGTACGTGGTACATATCGATATGACCAAAACTCGTATGACCGAAATTTCTCGTTTCATTGCTCATAATGGTGGGAATCGTACACCTTTATCATTTATCGTCGTTGTTCATTAAAATCTTTGTGTGCAATTAATTAATAGAATACATGTATATGTGCACAGATGGTTCTCAGTGGTGATAAAAAAATTTGATCGTACCGTATATCAGTCAGGGATAATGTCCAATAATTTTGCAAGAAGTGTTTCGGTAAAGATCTACAAGCTATAATATATTAGAAGAATGA